CCCCCCCCCCCTTTTCCGCCACCGTATCTATCCTATCCTCTGTCCCTGCCTGAGCTGATCGCTTCGAATCGGCGGCGCTGTAGTGCAATGGCGACGGCTCGAACCCGTGCCAGGTCTGCTATGAAAAGGCCGTCGACTGCGTCTATGCGCCTCCTCCGCGCGTGTCCAAGGCGGACCTGCGCGAGGAGCTGGCGCGGCTACAGAAGGCGACGTCGGATGACAACGCCCTCCTCGACACCATTTCCTCCAAAGAAACAAGTCTGGCCCAGCTGGACACCATATTGCGCCGACTCTCGGACGGCCAGCCGCGTGCCCAAGTCGCGTCCTTGATATCGCACATGCCGCCGGCCGCCGCGAGTTGTGTCCAACCAGGTAATAAAAAAAAAGATTGAATGTTGCCTTGTAATCCTGTTGCAATGAAAATCCCTTTTGTCCGTTGCGTCGTGATATTGGGGGAAAATGCTTTGGTGACTGACCGTTTTCCTTTTCTCTGGCAGACACTACCACCACCAACACCACACCTCCGTCGTCCGTGACGACGGCCGGATCGCCGTCGGTGCTCATGGACCCGATGAGCTCGGCCGGCCCCGCGAGCACCAGTCCCTCCTCCAGCCTCGCCACCACGTCCGACGAATCCGCCGCCTCCAAGACCGCCGAGTTCCGCGCCCACCTCGGCTACTACCGCGCCCAGCTCCCGCGACTGCTCAGCACCATCCTCGCGCGCGACTGTCTCTCCTTTTGCCCCATCAACGAGCGCGAGCTGAAGCGCGACGTCGCTGCGGCCGGTGCCGGCGCCGGTGCCGCACACGGAGGAGGAGGAGGATCTACGGCGCTCGCCGACGCGCTCCTGGCGCTGGGCGCGCTCCTGGCCAAGGACCATCCGCGCCTCGCGACCGCGCTGCTCCTGGCGACGCCGCAGCCGGGCAACCTGCTGGGCGACGCGGACAGTCTCGGCCAGGCGTTTGCGCACGAGGCCCTTTTTGCGCTGCACAACAACGGCACGGGCCGCCCGCGACGCCTGGCGGACATTCAGGCGCTCGGGGTGCTCGCGCTCTACTGGCTCAGCTGCGACCGGCTGAAGCAGAGCAGGGAGTTTGCGGGCGACTATTGCGCGGCCATGGCCGAGGCCTGGTGCGCGGACGGCGCTGGTACCCTGGTGGATAGCAAGGCACGGGCAAGCATCTATTGCGCTGCCGTCTCGCTGAATCGGTACGTCTTTGTTTTGGTGTGGTGGTTGCGTTGCTTTCACCGGCCTTCCTCTCCTGTCGTCGTCTGCCAATCCAGGGGACTTTTGGCTAACCAAATCGTGACCCCGGGTTTTCTTTCCTAGAGTCCTATTTCTCCTTGCCGACTTTGATGAAACGTTGAACGCGTATGCGAGAAGCGCCGGCATGGGTAATGCCCATGCCGCCGCCGGCGCGTCTGAGACGCCTGTTGTTCCGTGTCAGTTGGACTTGGCCAAGACCATCATAGGTAAGGGCGCCGTTTGGCTCACGATATCGACATGTCGGGGGAATTCCCCCCCCCCCCCCCCCCCCCTCGGCAGATGATGCCTTCTTCCGCAGAGACCTCAGGTCGATCCCGGACAATCCTCGCGTGATTGCCGCCAAGCTCTTTGAGCTGGCCGAATGGACGTACGAGGCGCGCTCCGGCCCGCAAAAGGCCACGTTTGACCATGCCGTCCAAGTATATAACCAAGGGCTGCGCTGGTACGAGACTTTTTTTCGATATACCCGCGGCTGCGGCAAAAGCAACACGTCCATGATCCTCTTTGTTCAGTAAGCAAGCAAAAACCCCCTTGTTGCGCGCGTGGGTGGGATGCTCTTTGTTTCGCTTTTGTTGCGCATGCGGAAGCTGACACTCGAGATGCCCCTGTTGTTAGTACATTTTATCATTTTTGCGTCTTGTGCCTCTTCACGCCGCATATTGTCCAGAGCGTCCCGATTGCCGTGGACGGGATGCGCACCGAAACGGTATGCAAGCAGGCTGCGGATAGCATATGCGAGCTCATCAGACACTACGGCCAGTTGAACGTGGCTGGGCGGCTGCTGGGTTTCGTGCCCATGTTCCAGTCGGCGGCTCTCTCAGCGCTGAAGATAGTTGAGGCAAGGGCTTTTAGATAGGGGGCAAGACTTCCAGTAGAGGCCAAGACTTCTAGATAGAAGCCCAGGCCTCTACTGAGGCCAAGGCTTCCCAGTTGAAGCACACCTGTATGATGATGACTATTTTCTTTGTTCAAGCGAATGTTTCATTTCAAGCCTTGAAAAAACAGAATGCAAGCCCTTAATACACCACGCCTGCCATGTTCATGTGACTATGCAAAGCACTTTGGCTTACCACCCTCTTCTCAGAACTTATGGTGCGATGCGGACCTGATGCACCGAGCTTTCGCATAGCACCTAAGCTTATGACGCAAGTCTGTACGCGTCTATTACCTCACATTTTTATATGCCGACCTCGACATGTCTTACATGTCAAGGCTATGTATCCTTTGCTTAGTGAGGAGGGTACTTTCTGCTTCCTGTTTGTTCTCTCAAGGCCATCTACTACTGGAGTAGGCTTTTAGTGGTAGCTATATGAGTTCAATATACCCTAGTTATACTTGGGATTACTGTTGAGTAGGCTTTAGTGGTAGCTTTATGAGTTCAACATACCCTAGTTATACTTGGGATCATCGTCATCTTTTAGCTTTGGGAGTAAATTATACCCAAAGTATACTTGAGATTATTGTAGTCTTTCTAGCAATCTTCTCTTGAAAGGCGACTTGATAGCCATCAAAAGCTCATGCTTTTTAACTCTAGCCCATAATCATGTCACGGATAGACACAGAATCAAAGTGCTAATGTTATCTAGAAACATTGAAGCTTCAAACCTATCAACGCATAAGCTAAATCATGTATACATTGATTTATTTATTCTTGCCGTTGACCCTGCGATGTAGATGTAGACTTGGCGGCGGTGCCGGTGGCTCCGGCCGTCTCCCGACTCGCGGCAGAGTCGAGGTCCGAGTCGACCCTGGGATCGAGCGCGTTGGCGAGCCGCGACTTGTGCGGACCAAACGTGCCCTCGGGGATCTTCTTGTTGCGGCTGCTCTGTCGGAGCTCGGCCGCCACGTCTTCGGTCGTCCGGGTCGCGTGGCGCGGCTTCTCGTTGGGGTTGCTGGACTGCCCGCGAGCGGTCTCGGTGAGCATTGGAGAAGCCATTTTGTTCGCGTAGTTTTGCGTTTTTTTGGTGTCCGAGTATTATGGAAGAGTCGACAAAGGGGGGGGAAGGTTATCGAAACAAAGAAGACTCTGGTAGCAGGGTATTTAAAGCCTTGGGTGTGAGATGCCGTGGTGGATATCCCATCTAGAATGCGTTTTCAGTGCGTCAGTATGCTACGGCTGTGATGTAATATTGCACATCAATTGGCTCGCTACGAAGCTATAATGAGCTACGTCACGATGTCGTTACCACGTCGCCAGGCTGAAAAATGATGGAAGATCTAAGTAGATGGAGCATGTAGATTTACAAATTGGAGGAAGCAGAGCTGATAGCACTCTCTTCTTTGGTAGACTCGGGGCCTTGGTTAGAATAGGCCGGTTTGGTACATTGAATCGTGGTCGTAGTAAATGTTTCATCCTGGTATCCTCTCCAACTTGATGCAGGTCATTCATTGGTACATTACTCGCGACCCGAGAAAACGAATCATCATGGAACTTGATGCAGATCATTCTTTGGTACATTGAATCGCGGACAGAACAAACCGTTCATCTTGTACTCTTCTCGTACTCTCATCTCCCATTTCATGCAGGATCATCCGAAGTACCCCTTGCCGGCTTCCACTCGAAGTGATGCTTGCCCGTCTCGGCACCCCCTGGCGGCTCATCCCACGTATCAAACATGTGCTTGCCAAAGTAATCCAGCTGCGCCTCGATAAACTGCGCCGGGCCGTGGGGCGTGGCCTGCATGTACTTGAAGTGCTCGAAGCTCTGGCTCAGCGCGGGCAGCAGCAGATCCGCCGCCGTGGCCGCGAGGACGACCCGCTTGACCGCCGGCAGGCGGCGGTGCATCGCCGCCGTCACCTCGGGGCGCGCAAACACGTCTTGGTCGAGCCGAGCGCCGTCGCCGCCACCGGCAAAGATGGACGCGAGCGTGTCCAGGATGCCGTCGGCGCGGATGATGCACCCCGCGCGCCAGAGCTGCACAATCTCGGCGTAGTCGAGGTGCCAGCCGGCCTGCCGGTCCTTTGCGCGCAGCACGTCGAGGCCCTCGGCGAAGCAGCTGAGAAAGCCAAAGTACGTGGCCGCGTGCAGCGCCGCCAGAAAGTCCTGCCGGTCAGCGCTGGGGATTTCCTGCACCCGGTCGCTGGCGTCGTCATCATCGTCATTGTTGTCTGCGGTGGCGGCGGAGACGGCCTCGCGAAGCGTCGCAGACGCGGACGCGCAACGGTACAGGTGCGCGGCGAGAATTGTGGCCGCCGGGATGTGCGCGGCGACGGCCTCGGCACACGTCCACGCGCCGGTGCCCTCGGAGCCGTCGGCGTCTTGCACCACCTTGTCGCGGATGGCCGACAGGACGTGCTGGCCGCCGCCGGAGCCTTCGCGTCGGCGGGCGCGCAGCACTTCGGCGCCGATGCCGACGAGGAAGCAGCCGCGCAGCTCGCCCGCGCGGTTCCACAACGCCAACGTGTCGGCAATGTCAACGTTGCTCATGCGCAGGCTGCCGCGTGGCGACGACATGATGAGCCAGACCTCGGCAAGGATGCCCATCATGCCCTGCTCGATGCCGTTGTGGATCATCTTGACGTAGTGTCCGCTGCCGCCGGGGCCGACAACGGCGGTGCACGGCCGGCCACGGTCGTCTCTGGCGGCGAGCTCCTGGAGAAAGGGGAGCAGCCGAGCGGCGACGGCATCGGCTTCGTCGCCGCCGGCCGACATGGACGGGCCGCGCCGGGCGCTCTGGTAGCCGCCAGACACACCGCAGCCAACGTAGAGGACGCCGTCGACGGCAAGGGCTTTCTGCCGGCGCTCGGTGTCGGCGTAGTGCTCGTTGCCGCAGTCGATGATGACGTCGGCGGGACGCAGATGCGGGCGGAGAGCTTCGAGGACGGTGTCGGCGACGGCGCCGTGGGGGACGGACATGAGGTAGAGCGCGGCACGGACGCCGTCGTTGATGTTTCGAAAGACGTCGGCGGTGCTCGCGCAGCTAATGACCCTGTCCTGCAGCCCAATGTTGCAGGCGTCGCCGGTGAGCTTGCGCACGTTGTCGTCATCTGCCGCAGTTGGGGCGAGCGTTAGTAGAAAGAGACGTTGCGCGTGAACCTTGGCGTCCCGGGATTACCGACTGGGATCGTGAAAGAAGACGCAATGGTTTTTCTCGGCGAGAAGCAGGCAGAGACCTGCCCCCATGCTGCCGGCTCCAAGCACGCCGATCTGGATATTCATATTGGTTAGCCGGGTCTCTGTCGCTGGAGCGTTCCTTTGGATCGACGTACTTTGGAGAAGTTGATTTCTTCTGAAGTCATACTTGCAAGAATTACGAGTTTTGTTTCAGTGGTTTTGGGAGAATCAGTAGGATGCTATAAGATGGTTGTGATTGCGTGGCTGTATAAAAGGCAATGCAGCATCATTACACTACATTCGTCGACCGAGACGGAAACAAACTCCTGGTCACCAGTGCCAAATAAGTTTTGAAAAAATAAATAAAGCAAAAGCGGGCCAATCTTTTTTTGGAGATTATTTAAGTTTTTTGCTGGGATTATTTCTCAACATTGGCCTTATTGGTCTCTCCTCGTTGCATCGAGGCGCGAAAGATGTCATTGCACTAATCTAATATGTCGAGCGGAATAGATCTGCCGTTCCTCCAGCACGCATTTTTCAAAAGACGGATGGGATTCATAGCCATTTCCCATTTGCGGCCCGTGGCTCTATGATGCAATGTTTCACCTGCCCAATATTGGTGGTTCCCGCATCTGCATGCTATACCTACACACCGACACCACATCTTTGCGTCACGATTTGGTCAGAATTATCAAACCTTGCCTCCCGGTCCAGCTTGAGGGACAAGGCGATACTTTTTGAGCAAGCACTACAGCGGACTTGCTATGACGAAATATGCGAGTTGCCGTCCTATATATGGCGTTGAATGTGGCTTTTCTCGTCGTCGGACGTCGTCGCCATTCATCCGTCGAGACAAAGGATACCAAATCTCGTTCAACTTGATTATTCACACTAGATTTCTTTCAATTTCGTTATTCACACTAAATCTCGTGTAACTTTGTAATTTCACACCAAACCTCGTGTAACTTGACTATTCACTTCCTAGCCATGCAGTCTGCTCTTCACAAGGTCGTCGGGCCCGACGAAGTCCAGCCCCAGAACCTCAGCGGCCGGGTGGCCGTCGTCATCGGCGGCGCCCTCGGCATCGGCTACGAGGTCAGCGCCGCGCTGGCCCGCGCCGGCTGCAAGGTCATCATGGTCAACCGCTCGCAGGACCAGGGCGACGCGGCCATTGCCGAGATCCAGAAGCAGAGCAAAGGCGAGGCGGACATTGACTGGAAGGAGTGCGACCTCGGCAACTTGGCCGAGGTGCGCGCCGTCTTTGGCCGCCTGCGCAAGTCGCTCGAGCGCCTCGACTACCTGGTGCTGTCGGCGGGCATCAACGCGAACCAGTACGCGCTCGACCACGACGGCATCGAGCGCATCTTTGCCGTCAACTACCTCGGCCAGGTCTACGCCGTCAACCAGCTGTGGGCGGCGCTGCGCAAGACGAGCCTGATGCCCGGCGTGACGGCCCCGCGTGTTGTGGCCGTGTCGAGCGTCATGCACCAGCACGCGCCGTCCAACGTCCGGTTCGCGTCGCTCGACGAGATCAACGATAAGAATCTCAGCCCTGCAGAGCTCTACGCGCGCTCCAAGCTGGCCCAGATTCTCTTTGTGCGCTTCGGGCTGGTCAAGCGTGTCATTAAGCCCACGAGCGACTCCATCTATGCCCTGGCTGTCCACCCAGGCACTGTACGTTTTGTCCATGACAGTTTATTTTTCTGTTTTGATTTTATTTCTTCTTTTCTTTTTCGCGTCAAATGTTATGGCGACTCACACATGACAATAGGTCAACACGGCCATGCAGGAGCAGTGGAAGGATGCGTACCCCGGCGTCACTGGGCAGCTCATCGCGGCCGCCATGAAGACGGTCGGCCGCGACCCGGAGCAGGGCTCGTACAGCACGCTCTGGGCACTCACGGCACCGGATGTTGAGCAAAAGAACCAGAATGGCGCCTACTTTACGGATCCCGGCCAGCGCGGCAGCGAAAGCGCGCAGGCGTCGGACGAGCGGCTGGGTGCGGCGCTGTGGGAGCTGAGCGAGAAGCTGATCAAGGAGAAGCTGGGAGATGATGCGCTCGAGAGCTGGAGAAACACGGATTTCGTTTAGGTGTGAGGAAACTATGTCATGTCGTTGAATGTCTTGTTGGGTTGGGGGATATCCGTGGTCTGTCATGGGTGATGCGGGCAACGTGGGACGTCTTGCGGCATGTTCTGCGGCCTGGCCACTACACTGCTACACGTAATTGATGACTGGATGAAGTTGGAGCATTCGGATTAGACGACCATGACACTCGACACCGAAAGAGCAGGAGCTTTTTTTTTTTTTTTTTCAACATGTATCTTATGAAATCGAGCTGATTATCCTTCTGTAAATTGTATCAATTGAAAAGGTTGGGCTGACTAACGCAAGAAATTCCGGCACCGGTTTTTTTTTCGAGGCATCATGGTTGCGTCAATGATACAGTCTTGACGCTGCGCCAGATCTCCATTGTTTACACTCGAGACACACACCATGCCCAAGCTTCAACCTCCCACCAACATTATTATACATGAAAGCTGATATATTTCGCCACATACTATTCTCTACTTTTTTTTCATCCAAGTCATCATGTCAACAGGAAGAACCATGATCCTGGCCGTGGCCGGTGCCGGCGCACTCGGCACCGCGCTCTACGCCATGCAGGACTCGACGACAGCACGCAACCAATCCCCGAACAAGACGCGCGACAAGAAGAACATGGGGCTCGAAGGCGCGGGCATCGCCGGCACGGGAGCGGGCGGAGGCAACGAAAGGGCCATTGACCCGAGTCGGGACAAAAAGGTCCAGACGACGGCGCCGCGGGAGAAGCTACCGTCGGGCGGTGTAGGAGGTGGTCCCAGGGCGGGCGGCATGGGTGCGCGAACGGTCGATGTGTCCAAGACGGGACCGCCGTGGTAGTCGGATGGTCTGTCTCTGTTCTGCAATGCCGATTAGAGAGAGGCATTGGGCGGCTTTGGAGGACCAGGGCTTGGGAAGGACTGGACAGGAGACTACAGTGGATGAAGGGAGTGGGAGGCCGGAAAAGGTGTCTTTTTACTTGGACTAGGATACAATGTTCAAACAAAAAGCCTAGATTAGAATGGAAACTGGCTCGATACTCCGGCCACGGGTGCTCTCCTGTACTACGCGCTCCAGGCCGCATTTCCGTGCCGAATCCTCGTTTGTGCTGCTCAGCAGGCTGTTCATGTCCGAGACAGCCAGCGGCTGATCGCTCACGTAGTCCAACTCTGGTGACTCAATCTCAAACGTCGAGGTCGATTCCTTTTGGCAAGCTGTGGTTAGTTTGCTGCGTCGCGGTCTGCGCGATACGAGGGTAGGTAGGTAGTTAGCCGCCCAACGGACCGAGTCTGAGAGAAACATGCTGCCGTAGCCGGGCACGTCGACACGTGTGTACTGATTCTAGCATTAGCGTAGGTTTCTTTTGAAGAAGAAGAAGAAGAAGAAACCCAGGGATGGTGGTTTCGTATTCGCGTACAGATGAGGGCGCTGTGCACGGTTTGGCTGCTGCTGCCGCCTTGCAGCGCAAGTGCTGGTGAAAGGACACGAGGGAGCAGTAGAGCTGGTAGAGGAAGCACATGATGTGCGACGGGGGAAGCCTGTGAAAGAAGAACGAGAGACTTGTAGGAGCGGCGATTCAAATCAAGACTGGATTTCAAGAGAAGAGGAGCTGGTTCTTGTGCTTTGCGCGCCTTCCCCCCCGGTTGCCGGGCGCATTGTATTAATGGCATGTTGACAAGACGCTTGAAAGTCCACGACAAGAGGATTGCCTAGCTACCTATATCATGACAATTAAGCCAGCTAATTTAGTAGGTGCGCCAGGACATTGCCAATTGCTACCGCTGGAAAAGGGCTGAGCCAGAGGCAATATGAGGCGCTGGCGTGGGTTCGGGTGCAGCAAAGGCTGCATTGCCGATGACTGAAAGATGGAATTTTGTCCATGGACTTGAGCATTGCGATGGAACCCTCCACAAAGTCGCCAGGTCGGGCTGGCCAGTCGGAAACAAGTGTCCGCCGGGAAGCCAGCCGAGGGAGGCCGTGCATGGAAATCCCATCACTCTATGAGTACTGATGTAATTGATGATGGAGCTGTGCGTCGCTGACGAGGTATGATGCCCTTTTTTTTTACCCCTCCCAGTCGTGACGCCCATTGTCCATCATGTATGTAGTAGTAGATTGGTGAGTCTAATTCAACAGCCAACCTATTCATTGTTAGCCATCTGCAGATGACAACTCGAAATATTTAAGACGAGGGATATCGCAGCAAAATCCATCACCCACCTGTCTGTCCCAGCAACTCTTCATCAAGTCTTTTTCCAGTCCAGCAAAGTTGATAAAAAAAATAACGCAATGGCTGATAATAATCCCGGAAACTTTGCCAACCGGTAAGGAACCTTGCTGTACGATTCCATCAAAGTCAAAAAGCTAATAATTCAATTGTTGCCAGCCCAAAGGAGGAGGTGCAAGAGATTGCTTCCAAAGGAGGCCAAGCCAGCCACAACAGCGGCTTCGCGACCATGGATGACACGAAGCAGGTACGCGTTTATCCTGCGCTTGGTGAAAGAAGAAAGAAAAGAAAAAGAGGACTTGGGAGCTAATGACAATTTGCAGCGAGAAATCTCCTCCAAGGGCGGACAGGCGTCGGGAGGCTCGTTCGAACCGGGCAGCGAGAGGGCTCGCGAGGCAGGACGCAAGGGAGGCTCTAAATAGACCTCGAGCGCCGTCGTCACGGATGGTGCAATGAGTTTTCTTATCCATGGATTCATTCCGCATCTGCTATTCTAGAGAGATAATAAAATTCGATTATACAGGGCGTGCCAGTTGCTTTTTTTTTTTGTGTTGTTGTCACTTGGACAGCACTGTACAGGGTAACCACTGGTCGCAAATGATGGCCATCTTATGGCGAGAGTGACGATGTCGGGGATGGTTTATGATGTTTTTTTTCTTTCATTTTTTTTTCGTTTAAAAAAGAGGATTGCCCCTGGAATTCGAGGACTTACTTGGCAAGTATAATTCATGCGTGCGTGCGTTACAAAAGCTGCAAGCGACCCCCAAGACGGGGACCTGCGCAACGTTCCAGCACCTTGATAAAGGGTTGCTCTACATACCTTACAGATCGGATGACATCGGCCCCCCCCCCCCCCCCCCCC